TGCGTGAATCGTTGTGAATTATTGCGTGTGTTTAAGTTTGAACAGAGACGTAACAATATCTATAGTTTTAAATTTAAACTTTAGTGAAGCATGAAACTTAAGTTATTGTATATTATTAAGAGATTTAAATAATGTCCTTTTCTCAGCACATAGATGTAAAAGTATGTTATACAATATAATAATTATAGAAATGAAACTAATGAATTAGCGATAAGCATTTTACATATAGAATGTTAGAAAATGCAAAAAGTATACCAAGCAAATTAAATATAGAAAAGAAAACTATAATCATATACTACTGTATGTTAAATGTGTCAGTAATACTATCTGCCTTTGTAAAAACACATTTAATACAATTGAATATATAAATGAAAACTATTACCATAAATTGAGAGAAGTTGAAATCTGTATGCAGTCCTACAGAAGTATAGTAGCATTGTCTGCCTATATAAACATCATCCACCTTTGTAAAACGTCTCGTCCAGTCTGTGATTTAACTAACATATATTAATGATGTCTGCTTAAAGCATATTGGAGTCTTATATAAGTGAAAAAATAACCTATTTGAAAATTTATAATGTGTGATATGTCTGAATCCTTTATTGATTATAGAGTAAAGTTATAAGCTATTATTTTGAATTTGTGTAACATACAACTATTGAGAAATATAATTTTATGAATACACATCTAGTGTTTTGCATAGATTGCATAGACTATTTACAGATTTCAAATCAAATATATTAAGTATAGAAGTGAAAACTATAAATCTAATGAAATAATATGCAAAGATCAAATATTTTGTCAAAAGCTTTTTTATAATTATGCTAAAAAAATATGTAAAAACAATCAGCAAAATAGCTGCATCGATCTAATATTAGCATATAGAAGTGAAAAAATATTACATTGATATCATAATGATATGATGTCACCCCTCTCCTACCTGTTTAAAAAGTAAAAAATAATCTTCCTTTGGTTATGTATAAATAGAAACCACAACAAATATATAGAAACATATTGATATATTTGAAAATATGAATTGTAAATAAAAGCAACAAAATGTAGGTAATTTTGCAGTAGTGAGGATGTCACTTGAGCGGCAGAAGTGGGGGAAGGTGAGTACGTTATCAACACCAGAGGGCGTATTGCTAGAAAAGAACTGCAAAGCAAGAGTAATGTTGCTGTTTAATGATCTTCCATAAATGTTGAATCTAAAAGGAGAGGATTGTTAGACTTAAATAATAAGGTATGAAGTGTCGCTTGTTATTATCTTCTTGTAACATCATATTGCTCTTGCCTCGCCAACAATAAATAAAGTTAGCAGTGTTAAAGAACCAATTTCTCTTCATTAGGTAACCTACAAAAATTGAAGGGCTACTAACCTCGCATCCTTAGTTGATGTTCCAATGCTCTGTTTAGGATGTCGAAACCACAAGACATCGTTGCCTTCTACTGTAAGTGACTGAGCTTTTACTAAACACTCTAGTTCTTCAGGGTTTGCCATTAAAGCACTGCCTTCATTAATTGCGGAAATGAAACTGAAACTGCGGTTTCTGTAAAAAAATGGTGAAAGAGGAGAAATGTTTCCTTCTTTTTTCATTGAACTTTGGGAAAATTCTAAAGTAGGAACATGAAGATATCGATGTGATTTGTCTGCTTGAATATCAGTTTGAATCTCCTTTTGCCAAGGTTTGCTTGGCAGCGACATTTCAGTCCGAAAACTGTCTTTAAAACTTGAAGCTAAGGATTCTGTTTGAGTGGATTTTGCACTAAGAGAAGAGTCATGAGGAAGTATTGGACACGAAAAAGCTAAGTGATGTGAATTTCTGGGCGCTAGGTTGGTAGAGACAGCAGAAGGCCTGTAGAAATAAATTTTAAATTCGGTTAACGACTCACAAACGTTTTGAAGCTACAATAAAAGTTGGATAGTGCATATTATAACAAAAACTAGATCATCAGCGTTAATAAACATATAATATGGATTGATAATACGGAATATTATTCTTTCTATTGTTCTGAGTTTACATGGTTATAATTATTTATCATATGCCTTTTCATCTATCTACATAATTATTATCGATTATTAGTTCTCACGACAGTTGAATCTAAGTTTAAAATGGACAACAACTGCCTGTTGTAGAAATCTACAAATGTAGAGTTTTACAACAGGCAGTTTCTGTCTATTTGAAACTTAGATTCATTATGAATACTCTGCCTAAACAACCTATCAAAGATCATGACAGTTGTTGTCTATCAATATGAATATTATCTACTCACATAAAGTTCATTCATTATCATCTATACACATGACTAACAACCATTACCAGTAAAATAAATACACAAAAAGTTATGTAATTTATAGTATGAAAAACATGCATGAATCCAAATCTATAAATGGGGAATAGAAAATACCAATAAAATCAAATTAAAAAATAGATCCGTAAGTGTGGGTAATCACTAGAAAAGCCAGATCTGCACATCAAAATAGTACATATATTAATAGAATAGCCAGAAAAGGTCGATTTTGAATGAGAGTGAGTCCCCCCCCCCCAAGTAGAAGGAAGATTTCTCTGCCATAAAATGGAAGAGCTATCTTCGATCATGGAACAAGGCAGTCCCACTAAGTAACAAGAAGAGTCATTTTTTCAAATTTGGTAAAAATGCAAAATACCAAGAGCTTAATTTGGTTTGAATTTTGTGCAAAGCAACACTAGGACTATCTGTGTTAACCATCCCTCATTTAGCAGTGATAGACTAGAAGGAAGGCGGCTAGTCAACACAACTCACCGTCAACTTTTACCAATGAGTAGTGGGATTGATCGTTACATTATAATGCCCCTACGGCCGAAAGGGCGAGTCTGTTCAGTAACGTAGACTCAACCAGTAACACTCAAATTGCGAATCGAGCACCCTAGCCACCAAGGCATGCGTGGCCTGATACTGTGAGTTGCAATGCAGGTAACCCCTATTTCAATAACTGAACAGCAAAAGGATTAAAGAGCCACATGTGGGTCCGACCCCTACAGTCATTTTTGAACATGGTGGCCCGACTATGTTTGGGCATCTTGGAGGTTGCTAGGTATCTTTCAGGCAAGATGAGTATCATTACTATTAACCTATTGAGGTTGGATCTGTTGAAACAGTTAAATATAAGTGTTCGTAAAAGCTATGAAAACCAGAGCCGTAAATCTAGCCATTATGTGTATACAGAAGAGCTTTGTATAGTAATAGGTGGAGTAAGAAGCGTGTGTAATATTTACGAACCATAGAGCATATCCTTGTCGAAGCAAAAGGTTTTGTATTCTTGTACGACCAAATATCTTTGTTTACAAAATATTTATATACTCAAGTGTATAGGCATCAACTCTGAGGTTTGAGTTTCCTAAAATGTTCATATTCTTAAAGGTGTTTATAACTCACCTGGTACCAAATTCTGCATTTTCGGAATTACTCCAACACTGGCGAGGTCCTTAAACAAAAATAAAACACATATTAATATCATGCAGCAACAATGGTTTACCAACCTCCTATCATCAGATAAAGAATAAACAATAAATATTTTGAACAAGTAATTTGAATAAATACATATAAAGCGGAAAGGGGTTATTATCCCACTCTAGATCAGCCTCTGTAATATTTTCTTCTTGAATAAATACATCAGACGATTGAGTAGATATGTTGTGGATTTGCCCCCCCCCCCATGACTTTCACGTTAAAAGAGGACACCAGCTAGTATTTTAATAAAAGTACATAAAATGCTTCAGTAAAAATCAACTGCCACGAAGTCTAATCTCTAAACTCAAAACAGATAATAAAAACCTTCCTGATAAAAAAAAAACCTTGTGAAAAAATAGTTTTAGGCAAAAACTGTTACCATAACAAGACTGATTATGTTGAAACTTAGCCTGTTTATATTCCAAACGGAAGAAAGAAACACAGTGAACAACCTTCAATCTGTTTATACTCTAAAGGAAAGAAAGATACACAATGAAAAAACATTCCTGTCTATACTCTAAAGGAGAGAATAGAACACTATGAGCAACATTCGGCCTGTCTACACTCCAAAAGAGGATAAAGGAATAAAATAAACAACATTCTGTCTGTCTACACTCCAAAAGAGAAGAAATGAACACAATAAACAACATTCCTGTCTATACTCTAAAGGAGAGAATAGAACACTATGAGCAACATTCGGCCTGTCTACACTCCAAAAGAGGATAAAGGAATAAAATAAACAACATTCTGTCTGTCTACACTCCAAAAGAGAAGAAATGAACACAATAAACAACATTCTCAATGTCTACACTCGAAAAGAGAAGAAATGAACACAATAAACAACATTCTCAATGTCTACACTCCAAAAGAGAAGAAAGGAACATAATGACGAACATTCAGCCAGTCTATACTCTAAAGGAGAGAAAGGAACACAATGAGCAACATTCAGCCAGTCTATACTCTAAAGGAGAGAAAGGAACACAATGAGTAACATTCGGCCTGTCTACACACCAAAAGAGAAGAAATGAACACAATAAACAACATTCTCAATGTCTACACTCGAAAAGAGAAGAAATGAACACAATAAACAACATTCTCAATGTCTACACTCCAAAAGAGAAGAAAGGAACATAATGACGAACATTCAGCCAGTCTATACTCTAAAGGAGAGAAAGGAACACAATGAGCAACATTCAGCCAGTCTATACTCTAAAGGAGAGAAAGGAACACAATGAGCAACATTCGGCCTGTCTATACTCCAAAGGGAAGAGATGAACATAATGAGTAACATTCGGCCTGTCTATACTCCAAATGGAAGAGAGGAACATAATGAGCAACACTTGACCTGTCTATACTCCATAGGGAAGAAAGGAACACAATGAACAACATTCGGTCTGTCTACACTCCAAAAAGAGGAAACGAACATAATGAATATCATGCAGTAAGGAAAGGAACACAATGATTAACATTCAAGCAGTTCTTAGCTAGTCCATTGCAGATTTTCAACTATAAATACTGTTGAAACGTTTCAGGTTCGTAGTTAAGGTATTATCGATTTCAATTCTAAGTCATCTCCCTTTTGTCCATTATTAAACTTATCTGGTTCTTAGTAAGTTCATTAACAATTTCAAGTCATTAATACTACACTTTGTTGATTTTCAGAAATTCCCACGCTCTTAGTTATTACATTACAGATTCAAAAGGACATGTAATAAAAAGTGAAAAATGATTTACAGTGAGAAGAGCACTGAAAATGCCAGTGGAAAGACGAAAAAGTGGAGGAAGACAGAAAATACGGTTGAGAGAAGTGATGGACTGAGATATGAATGACGTCAGTGGAGCTAGAAATGGTTTTGATGAACAGGAACCCACTTTCAGAAAATAAAATTTGGAGACGATTTGAACGGGTAATGATAGAAACTTTATCACAAGTAACAAAAGTGTGTCGAAATCTTGTACATTAATTAATTGTAATAAAGTTTCTTTCATTACCCATTCAAGCTGTCTCTAAACTAGAAAGAACCATAATCTATAGTAATAGAAGACTGACCTCTTACAAAAATGCGACCAACCATGAGAATAATTCACTTCGCTACTGTTACTGACTTTATATCAGATCCTTGAATTTGAAGTTCCCGCAAAGATGAAACTTTGCCAATAAATGTAGTTCCTTTAATAAAAAGGTGACATTAGTAAATTGACATTAAAGTGACTATGGTGTAACTTTAGATTTATGGACAAAGACAGTCAGTGTAATCGCACTTGTTGCCGTTTTACATTTTACAAATTTGTTTTATTTCAAAGCAAGACATACCTGCTCCTTCTTCGGAAAATCCTAGCCTTTCTAAAGCAGTCTTCCTTCGACTACGTAATTCTGTTTGTAGAGTTTCTCTCCTGGACTATAAGAAAATGAAATATTTATTATTGAATTCCAAGTCTACTGGCTTTATGTAATTTTAAACAGGTGGTGTTAAAAAGTCACGACTAAAATGGCCTGAAATACACTAAGGTACATTTAAAGGAAGAAGTGGTACTAATCCATCCATCTTCGTCAATAATTCCAGTAAATCTGAATAGAGAGTTAAAGGTTTTGAAGCTATAATTGTAGAAACATTTTATATCACTAATCTTTAGACTAGTCTTACTGTTGACAAAACTAAAAAGAGTATTTCATCAACAGAGGCAGCACCAGCAACAAAACATATAGGGGACAAAACAAGACATTTTATACTCACATGTAATTTTAAAGGGACACATTTTTCCCCCTAAATTCTAGCGTGCTAGATTACATTGAGCCAACGTTGGGTTTCAAAAAAGTACTTTGTATTGGGTTTTGAATTATCTGAATGTCTGGTCAAGTTAAACAACATACAGTGTATTAATGTGTGGTCAAGTTAAACAACATACAGTATATGAATGTGAGGTCAAGTTAAACAACATACAGTATATGAACGTGTGGTAAAGTTTCGCCAAAATAAATCGGGCATTTAATGCACGGTCTCGATTGCTGTCACTTATGGTAACATGTTACAGAAATTTAATAAAACAGTCAAACCTTGCTACAATTGCCCTTACAGCACGCATCTGGCAAGTCTATCGTGTTTCCGACATTGTTTTAAATTCTACAAGCTTTTCATTTGGGCACATGTCTTTTCTTCTTTGAAAAGTAATCCACTGTGTGTGAACATCAGAACCACTTACAAATTGTAGCAAGTCTGAAGAGTTGAGAAAAAATCAGCCACGGGGGTAACAGATTTCACTCTTTCTACGATGAGCAAAACAGTGAATGTAGGTGGCTTGAAGTATGATTTGTCTTATTTCCTGTTGAACCCCAAAGCACTTGGCGCTCATGACGACGGTGCCATCATATCCTTGACCAATCAGGCTTGTGACATCAAGCCAGTTGTCCTTTAACTCTTCCAGATATATTTTGCCAATTATTGTGTTTCAAGTTCATCAGTGACTTGAAAACCAAGGAATTCTTCATGAATCATTAAAGTACCAAACTCATCTGCTCTTTTTTGGATAGGTCTTTAGTTTCATTGACTGTAAAGTACTAAGTTTCTCTTATTTCGCTCAAAATTATATCATTGAGGATGTCCAAAATGCATCTTGTACACTGTACTGCGTATATTTGGCATTTTTAGGTTTGTTATTTCCAAAAAGTTTCCTTTATTTTCACGATGACAGCTCTGAGCTATGTTTGGGACAGCTGTAAGTCTCAACGTATCTACAAGTATTTTGATATATTCCCTATTTTTTCCACAATCAGCCGGTGAGCTTCATTAACGCGGTCTGCTACTGTTTTCTCAGAAAGCTATTATTCTAAATAAGCATTATATTTGCACATGTTTTACAAATGAACATCAGACTGCCTGTGTTTGAGAAGTTTATTGTTTTGTTTTGTTTTTTTGGAGTTTCACCCGTTCACTTCTTCCATCTACTGAACCCTTCAGACTCACAAGCTTGTTCACCTTTGTATTTAGTGCCTGTAGTAAAATGAAACCAAACAAAACTTTGTCAGCAGATGTGGAATATTCAAGCCAAGGATGTGCTTTATACCGTTCAGGTATGAATTTTCGTCCACGAGTCTTTGGAAAGTGGAAGGGCTCATTAAGACCAGGTTGAATTGGTCGGTTGTTGGGCGTTTGAGATATGTCAATCGGACCACTTACTCTAAGAGTCGGCCTAGACAGAGCTGATTTTCTACTGCTGCCGCTCGGCTCGTGTAATTCTTCAATACTAGCGGGTTCACCCAATATATCGTCATGATTTCGATCAGAAGTATCCACACTGCTGCCTCTTTGGTTCAATAGTCTTCAGGTGCAACTATTTCATCTTCAGTCTTTCGACGTTTCTCGCTTGGTTCACCTGTCTCCTTGATAGATTCATCATCTTCCTGGGAATCCTGTGATTAACGCAGGTTTTTGCAAAATTTTCTGATAGCCATTTTCTCATTAATAAGACTTGATATGTTTACACATGTATGCAGAACACCAACTGTATGTAACAATTAATAACAGTAAAATGTATCGTTTAAAGACCTCTTGACCTAGAAAGTTAAAAACAACTCGGTAACGAGTACTTGGGCACAAAGTCAAAGCACCGAAGATAATCTAGTACACAACAAGCCCGTGCTTATCAAAACTGCTTACCTCAAAACTGGTCTAAAGACCTTATTTATCAACGTTTCTGAGAGAGTCAGGTTTAGGTCTCTTTTAACCCTTTAACCCTCAGACAAAACATAATGTATATATATATAGCCTTCAATCTTAATTAGTTACAGAGTTATCAACTAGAAAATCAGACCCCTCTTGCCACACTCACCTCAATCCTCCTTTTCTTAACTTTCCCATAGTTTTCTCTAACTTTTAATCCTATATTATGTTTAACCAACAGAAAAACAAGGGTTTTCTTTTACTTTAAAACCTATATTATGTATAACCAATACAAACCAAGGGGTTTCTCTTACTTTAAAACATATATTATGTATAACCAATACAAACCAAGGGGTTTCTCTTACTTTAAAACATATATTATGTATAACCAATACAAACCAAGGGTTTTCTCTAACTTTTAATCTTATATTATGTATAACCAATAGAAAAACAAGGGTTTTCTCTAACTGTAAAACCTATATTATGTGTAACCAATACAAACCAAGGGTTTTCTCTAACTTTTAATCCTATATTATGCTTAACCAATACAAACCAAGGGTTTTCTCTAACTTTTAATCCTCTATTATGTTTAACCAATAGAAAAACAAGGGTTTTCTCTAACTGTAAAACCTATATTATGTGTAACCAATACAAACCAAGGGTTTTCTCTAACTTTTAATCCTCTATTATGTTTAACCAATAGAAAAACAAGGGTTTTCTCTAACTTTAAAACCTATATTATGTATAACCAATACAAACCAAGGGTTTTCTCTTACTTTAAAACCTATATTATGTATAACCAATGCAAACCAAGGGTTTTCTCTAACTTTTAATCCTATATTATGTATAACCAATAGAAAAACAAGGGTTTTCTCTTACTTTAAAACCTATATTATGTATAACAAAAAAAAATCAAGGTCCTGCCTTTGAAATAGCATATTATTCTATTTTTTTTTCTCAATAGAAAATGTGTAGTTTCGGTTTCAGTTTCACTTTTGTTTCCGCGGGAAATGTATCGACCAGCTTTGCTTAATTGCTAACGACGTTTGTGGCATAGTTAGAAAGACAGAAAAATTGTGATAGTTACGGGACAAGTTCTGCTTTTTGTACGTTATTATTCTGTGTTCTTTCAACCATTATTTAATTAATTTATTTAGTGGGTTAGTACAATTAGTATAAAAAGTAGGGTTAAAGAGAATACCAATTATTGTAGGATATATCTGGTTGACTTCTAGTATACAAGAAACAAAAACATCCTGTAAAACGGTAGTGCGCGTGCGAACGTGTTTTCATGTACACATATCATTTGCTCTATGAACGTAGGATAATTTTTTTATGGGGGGGGGGACAAACTGGGGTCTAGAAAAACTTTTGTGTGGGCGCTGTTTATCGGTAATTTCAAGTTCATTACATGATGTTTTCCCACGTTTTCTGTATTAAACATTCTGTATACCATGATGTGTCACCAAATGAACTGGATAAAACATTCTGTATACCATGATGTGTCACCAAATGAACTGGATAAAACATTCTGTATACCATGATGTGTCACAAAATTAACTGGATTAAACATTCTGTATACCATGATGTGTCACCAAATGAACAGGATTAAACATTCTGTATACCATGATGTGTCACCAAATGAACTGGATAAAACATTCCGTTGATTCTCGGTGCTGTGTAAGCTAAATTTTCATATTAATTAGGTTAGAGTAAAATTCAGTTCAGTGTCTTGTCATCTATCATCACCTTTCACAAAACTTAAAATATATTGAAAAATGAAGAATGTTAATCTTACCAGATATGCCAGAACAGCTTGACTTTTTGTAATCTGCTCCTTAAGAATTTCTAAAGTGGCATCTATCTCTTCAGCTGTGACGCTGACAGGCTGTAAATCCAAACAGATACTATCTTCATTATTCACACCATAACGTATATCTATGTAAATCCAAACAGATACTATCTTCATTATTCACACCATAACGTATATCTATGTAAATCCAAACAGATACTATCTTCATTATTCACACCATAACGTAATGGTGTGAATGGTGTGAATCTAATTCAAATCATAGTTTGTGTGTAAAACATTGAATAAATAGGAGAAAAATCCAAACGATGTTAAATATTTTTTTAATGAACATTTAATATCCTCAAGTTGTGAAAGATATAATTCAGACTTGGTGTTTCTTCCTTGATATCTAGGAAATAAAATACATTTTGAAATCATTTGGTTATGAGGGACTATTAGTTTTTTTTTCCTTTAAGGTTTACAGAGTCATTTGGAATCACTGTGTTATGAGAGACGACTATTTTTCTTTTTCTTCTAAGGTTTACAGAATCATCTGATAGATACGAAGTAAGCAAAACTGTTGATTCAATGTGCAGGTTGTAAGTAAGATATTTTTTTCTTGTGAATCAGGGATTTAACACACACAGCTGTTTCCTATCTCTATTTCAATATGGCCTGTTAATGTTCTGAAAATTAGGCTAGGTCAGTGTATCTGTTTGTTGAATGTGGCCTGTGAATTTCCTGGAAAGTATACTTGGCCAATGTATTTGTTTGTAGAATGTGGCCTGTGAATTTCCTGGAAATTATACTAGGCTAATGTATCTGTTTGTTGAATATGGCCTGTGAATTTCCTGGAAATTATACTAGGCCAATATATCTGTTTGTTGAATATGGCCTGTGAATTTCCTGGAAATTATACTAG